TCCACTTCTGAAAGCTTTGTGTTCAGGGATGCTGTTCCTGTTGTCTCTTGTCATTCCTGTGTCAGTTGTTACTGATGCTGTTGCCATCCTGCCAGTTACTCATTCAGTGCTGTAAGCTGTGTCCTGGCTTCAGATCCCATCTTTCTAGGCAAAGAACGTGTTCAAGCCATTCAGAATAGTTCTGAACATCTTTTTCTAAGGCCACGCTTCATATTTTGTGTAAGCTGATCAACCTGTGGATTGCTGGGGCAATAAAGGCCCTGTGATCATTAGCCTCAATCTATTGGAAGTGGGAAAACAAGGCAAGGGTATAATCTCTATCTCTGGGGGGTGGTCTGCACATAAATTAGGTTGTGTCATATGCCGTGCCTCACCCTTCTTACCTACGTGTGCAGCTGGAAGTGGGATGTCACCTGGTGTTTTGGCTACCATGGCATGGCTGTCTGACCTTGCCTGAATCTTGTTTGTTGGGAATGCTGCTGCAAAGGACTAAGTCTGATCCTGTTATCATTCCTTCTGTATGGCTTCCTTTTTTCTGTTTCCAGTTTCCTTGCCTTTTCTAGTGTGTGAGTGATTTGTGCTTTTCAAGGCTCCCTGGGGTTTGTCCCCACCCTGCCTGGTGCTCCTCTTTCGCTAGAGGAGATGAGTTGAATATCGACTAGTGGCAATGTTCTTCCCACTTAGTGTTTCCAGTGCATGACTTTTTGCTCAATTCTGTACTTTCCTTAAAACTTTCTGCAGCTCTCTCCCAGTATGACCAAAATTATTATTATGACTTCAAACTCTATTTGACATGCACAAAAGCTCGATAGACCTCATGTAGTTGGTGTGCTAAGAACTAAATAGAAGTGTTCCTTACCACTGGCTTGGTGTATCTCGTTGTCCAGTCCCTTCTTTCTGCAGTTTTCTGTTTAATCTAAGGCAAGAAGTTGTAGGAGTTTGGGGACTTGTGCTAGCAGCTTGCATACAGCACCTTGCGCAATGAGGATGCAGAACTGGAAATTCTGAACCCCCAGGGAATACTAATAGAAGGACATTTGTATCCTGCTACAGAAAGAGGAGTGAAGTAATCCTTTAGAAAGTTGCTGCATCCCACATGTTCTAGTTGCATGGGAAATAAGCTTAAAATTCTCCCTACAACTTGTGTAGAAGAATATGCAGCTGCTGCTTTTTGATGCTTTTAATGCGAACAGTAAGTTTAAAGGGGAAAAAATCTGAAGGAAGATTTGAATTCTTCAGTCTCCAACCATGTACCTGTTGTCCAGGACTGCATCAGAAACCTTTGATCTTTGCTCTGCTTACCTGGAACAAATGGGAGTACGGTTGTGTCTAGTCACTGGCATGTGTAGCTTTTTATTTTTGTTCTGTGTGTTTATATTAAATTGCGAGAATATTTGGCAAATTATTATTTGTATGTTGCTATAGCAAACCTGTTATATCCGGGAAGAGTGTTGTAAGTCTATGTAGCAAAAATACTTTTCACTTAATTTATGTCAACAAATCTGTAGAGGATGTTTTGTCTGTAGACTTGTTTGTTCCTTTTCTTTCAGTTTATAAAGGCACATTCAGTCTTTGATATAAATTTCTATTTTAGGAGGAATATGTTCTGTTGAACTTCTTTTTTCCCTTTCAGAATGACGTGACTTTGGAGTCAGTTCATTGCCTGTTTTGATGTGATTTGTATTGTGCTAAATTTTGTCTAAATACACTGAAATATTTAGACTGATAAAAATAACTTCGTGAAACATTGCTCCTCTCCAGTGTTCTTCACTTGTGCTTGCTCCTGAACATTTTGTCTTAAGCAATGACTTGAACAATTTTTTTTTCTCACCCTGACTGGTTTATTACAGTCAGAGCACAGCTTCTGTATCCTCAGCTCTGCTATCTTTGAGCAGTATTCACTGCTGTGCAGTTTTCTGGCTATGTACTTGTTTCTGCCCTTTCTTACTGCGTGTCTCCTGCTTTTGCATTTTCTTAGAGGGTCTCCATTCCTGACAGTGTGATCGGAGAGCTGAACTGCCGGGGAAGGTGGGCGGGAGGAGAAGGTGGAAGCACGCTTTGTCTCAGCTGATTGATGGTGGTGTCTTTGGTTGAAATATCTGTACTATTTAATGCTGTGTTAGTTGAACAAGCTCAGGCACGCTAATGACTGCACATGCACTTTGAAATTACTTCTACTAGATCAATTCTGGCAAGATCTCTCGAGTGACATGTTCCTATTAGCCTCAAAACTGGCATAACCTTGTGCCAGGTCTCTCGAGTGACATGTTCCTATTAGAAAGCCTCAAAACTGGCATAACCTTGTGCCAGCATATTTGAAAGCACACAGTGCTGAGACACAGGCTGCAGTGAGGGTTGGGTGTTTATCCCAAATACAATATTTGGGTTTTTTTCTACCTTCGGGATTTATAATGATGAGCTCACTTTTACAAAGGAGAAAAAGAAGGGAAAGCAGAAGCAAACTGGGTGTGAGGTTTCCGTGTGATGCCCATGGGGAAGATGTGAAATCTTAATAGAAAAGTCTGTCCTTGCAGCTTGATACATGGTGAGGAAAAGCTTCTTACTTGGCTTCTGAGATACGTGATCATACTTGAAAGAGGATAACTCTGCATCTGTCAGGAGGTGTATGTTTGTGTGATGGAGTTTTCTGATGGTTGTTGTTAGGGCTTTTCTGGTTGTTTTTTGTGGTTTTTTTTTTAAGCCTGTCACTAGTTCAGCTTGCTGGCCGAGCAAACTTGGCCATAGGCTGCCTCTGCAAATGCTCATTCCTCCTTCTGCCCATTCCAGCATGGGCAAAAGCTCAGACTTAGTGCAGTCTGCAAAGTAATGTGTTCAGTAGCTGACATAAAACTTTACTATCTGGGTCCTCAGCTGTTTATTCTAAGCAGAACATTTTGTCCGTTGTGCCTGTGCTTGATCCCAGCTCTGTTTAACTGCATCTCTGAGTGCCTGCCTCATCCTTCTCATGTGCATCCTCCTGTGTGCTTTTTGAAGGACTGAAAATGTATTAAAATAGATGTGTGGTGTGAAATGCATGCTTTTACTCAAGCAGTGCTTCAGCAGTCAGCACCATTTAAAGTCTCTCGGAACTGACTTTTTTTAAGAGTGAGATTTCTTCGAAAGGCAAGGACCTGTGCTGCATGGAGATGATCCTGGATGCGTTAACTCTGGCATCTCTTCTGTAAAACTACTAAGAGAAAAGCAGTTTAAGCCAGCCTTTTATTCCTCAGTTAAAAACCTGACAACTAACCCAAACCTGCATAGATCATTATACTGTAGCTTAAAATGGCAGATGATGGTGGTGTAAGGAGTGCCTGCCTGCTGCGTGCCTTCTCCTGCGCTGCTGCTGGTGCCTGTTTGGTTTGAAGCCTCTGACATTGCTTGGCCACAAGCTCCACACATAAGGGGATATGAAGCAGTGATTCTGTTATGCTTCTGATGTCTTTGAATGTCCCCATGTGGTGACTTTGTCCTGCTAGTTTGTATCCAAAGAGGATAGCTGCCTTCTGCAAAACTCTAGGTTGTCCTGCAGAATACAGTAAATAGAAGCTAACGTACAAATACCGTATATTCTGCTGATGCTGCTGTCTGCCAGTCAGTGCTCTTCTTTTTACCAGTGCTCCTCAGGTAGCCTTGGCTTTTTCTTCCTCCTGTGCTGAAAACTTTGTGGGCTTCTTGACTGCCAAGTCTCAAATAAAATGGGTAGTTGGATTCTGCCCTGAATACTGAATCTTATGTGTTCAGTTATTCTGCTTGTATGGATTTCTGGACTTAAAATGCATCTAACCTTGGCCAAACTAATTGATGCAAATTGATTGCTTTTGTTAGTAGCTGGTCAAGCATGTTTTGAAGTTATGTTGTGGTGGAATAAACAAGAGCTTTTAAGCCTTGAGTCTTCTGTATGGAATATCATAGAAGTATGAGGGGAGAGCATGTGGTGACTCTAAAAAACAAAACAAAACAAAAACCCCACAAAAAAACCCCAAACAACAGATGAAAACAACCAACCAAACTGCCCCCAAGCTTTTTCCTTTGTGATAGAACTGATTTTTTCACTTCTTGCCTGTAGCCCTACCTGTTGGCTATTTTTATCATCGGTCATGTGTTTTATGCTGTCCCTTAGTGACAGTTATATATTTTCAGAGGAAGGCTGTTGGGAAAGCATGTGGAGAGAAGATACTGTTTTCCATGGTGAATCTGGTGCACACAGTGGTCCATGACATTTGCCATCTTGTGGTGTCAATGTCTCGAAGATTCTGGGTAATGTTTGAGGTTCTGGCCCCTGGAGTTCTGTGATTGTGTGAAAATCTTGGCTTAGTGCATTTTCTTTTCATGGTTCCTGTATCCATGGGGTGAGGAGGAGCTTGGAAAACATAGGTTCTGAGGGCTTGGCAACTGAAGCCTGAAAAGTGGATTCATCACTTCTCAAATTTATTTAAAAAAACCTTATATTTTTATGGGACATGGTTTGTCATTAATGAATGCTTAGAATTGTCAGTAGTGGGGGTACTTTGTCTACAATATTTCTCAGTAAGCTTTTTGATACTGCTCTGCGTGTATCTGTGTTTAAACCTCCTTTTCTGCTTTAAACCTTTCTGTCAGGTGTCTTAACTTAAGGCTGCATTTAACAAAACTCAGCAGTTTCTCTGCTTTTAATAAATGAAGAGGAGTTTTAGAAACTTCTAATTCTAAAGGGGAGAGGGAACAAGGAAGACCCTGAAGCTGTAAAACTTGGTTTGTTCCTGACTCTGTCTTAATACCATGGATATTGAAAAGTGGGTGTCTTAAACTGGGGGCAAAAATATGGGCAATGGTAAGTAAGTGCCAGTGAGCTTGTGTGTTACCTGACAGATACGAGCTTCTTAAATTTTGCCTTTAGATTGCTGATGTCAAATGATAAACACCTTGTAAAGCTGTAATGAATTAAGGAATTGAGCTTTATAACACTTTGTTTTCTTTCACTTTTTTTTTTTAAACCTATCTTTTAAATCTGTTTGCAGGGGCCAGCTACCTGTGTAGCATTTTCAAGAGCTGGAGACTTATTTGCCTCTGGAGGTTCTGATGAACAGGTATCTGGCTAGTTTAATTTGATAGTTTTGTGCCCTATTGTTACTGTTTTCTTGGCTTCTTGCTGCTTTCAAAGAGAAATATTAAAAACTGTGAGAGATATTAAACATAGACTTTTTTATTGAGGAAGCACTTCAGCTGGATTATCTGGGAATGGGTACGCACAACAGAAGACATTTGCCCTATATAAGGCCCTTGTTGTATGCCTTTCTGAGGTGTCTGCTGCTGGGGAGGCAGTTAGATGGGTGTACAAATGGCTGTGTTGAGATACTGTGAGTGTCACAGGCTGTGCTGGGGGATGGTCTCCTGATTGCCACTGGCTAGGTCTGAGATACAAGCGTAAGGACAAGGCAGGCAGGGATGCTTGCCCTGAATACTCTTCCAGGCTCCACTGGTGTACAGTGCTCTGTATTTCGTATTCCTCAGGGCTCTCCTCCTCTCTCTGCCTTATTTGAGATGCTGTGGCTAAGCCCTCTGCAGTGATTGACCAGGTGGTTTTGAGTCTGATTGGACGTGAATATGGGCTGCAGGTCTCTCTGTTAATGGGAGCATGGTGCAAAGCTGTGCTAATATTGCAGTTGCACAGCTTTTTGGGTCAGAGCTGGACTTTTCTCTGCTGACCTTAATGTTTGCACTAGGATTGAGAGCCTGGGTGTTCAGTACTGCTGGTAAAGGGCTTTTGTGGATGAAGCACTTGGGGCAGAAGGGGAAATATCTTCCTTTTACTTCTGGTTCTGAGTTACAACCCAGATTCACTTTTCTTTAAAAGCTGCTGGGTTATGTTTTCTGTTGTCAGGGGGGAAAAGCAAAAACATACCCAGTATGTCTGGACCATGCTGAAATGACTTGCTGGGTTCTCTACGCAATGTATGTTTTCATTTGCATACTACCAAGAAGGAAAACAATCCTGGGGTTGTAGCCCATGACAGTTTCATGAGCTGCTACATTTCAAGTGTATTTTATAGATTTGCCTAGATATGTCGTATAACTTGTCATCCTGTTGCTTTTAAGACGACTTTTTGTTTAAGGCTTTAAACAGACTGTTTTGAAGAGATGCATCCTGGGTTTTGTCTTATAAAATTGTATTGGGGTCACCTTATTAGGATTTGCTCTTGAAATACTTAACTAACACAAACAAGCACAAACATGCCTTTTTGTTGCTTCTCTCTTACTTAAAAGCCCTGATGTAGCTGGAAGTTGCAGTTATATAGCAATTCATTGTCCTTATTTTTGGTAGAAAACTTCAGAAATTTTATTTGTCTTCAATTTCTGGGTATAGCCAAGAAGCTGGCTGTTTATTTCATTTTTAACTTAAGAGGATGTGTTAGCCTACATTTCTCTGTTGTGTAGATTCCTTCAAAAGGCTTTTGTATTATCAGCTCCTTCTTTGTCTTTCCAATGGCTGGGATTTCTCTAAACAAAGTAATGCTCACTGCAGAGTATCACCTGGTGGTGTTAAACTGAAATGCTGAATAGCAGTGCCTCCCCAGAGAGGTGCTTTGTAAAGGTACATTTATGGCATGTGCTCACATACCGACTTCTTTGGCAGCCCTTTCCACCTTAGCTCAAGGTTGCACGTTTCTCAATTGTGTGTATTGGGAAGGGTGGCTGTTGGCTGTCCTGTTGTAAGCTCCCATGAAGGAATTGCCTCTTGCCTCTTAGGTTTGTATCTGAAAATGCAGGCAGTGCTTCCTTTTCTGCATGAAGAAAGGACTTTAACATACAGTGTATTTATGCGTTAAATCCAGCATCAGTCTTAGATTGCCAGTTGTGCCTATACAAGGAGCTTTTTCAGTGGAACAGATCTCGCTGAACACTACCTTTGTGGACCCAGGAGAAATAACAATAACTTTTTTGTGGGGTAGTTTAGACACGTACTCTGTCTAAAAAAACCATGTTTAATTACTGAACTGCAAACAGGCTTGTTATATGAGCCTGCTGGAATCAGGTGGTGTCATTTGCACGCTGTGTTGTGAATATATACTGGTTTTAACATAGTGTGACTTCCCCCCCTGAAGATATGGACAGACTTCAACCCAAAGTAGTGGTGTGAGTAAGTATCCATTTTTCTGTCATCAGTCTTCACTGAGCTGTGTTGCATTGCTCTTAATCCCCACGTTAGACTAGGTGGCAGTGCCCATCTTTGTTGTAACAGCACCCTTTCTAGCTGTGAATCATAGAATCATTAAGGTTGGAAAAGGCCTCAAGGATCATAAAGTCCAACCATCAACCCAACACCACCTAACCCCCTAAACCATGTCCCGAAGCACCACATCTACATGTTTCTTCAACACCTGGTTGGCACCTTAGAGCTGGGGGCAACGACCTTGTTAAGCAAAAGTTTGTCCTTGGTTAGTGAGGGGACTAAAGCCTTTGCTGCGTTCTTTGCTGCTTCTTATCAGCAAGGAATAGGCTTGTTGCCCATTGCCTTTTTACAGCCCAGATGTTTGAGACATCCCAAGGCCTTCCCTGATCAGGGCCTTTGACAGGCAGTTGTTCGTAGAGCTGGGGTGGTGTTGGTGCAGTCAGAGCAAGTATGAATTGTGGAGTTGGGATTTTTGGCAGGGAGGTGGTTCTAGACCGGCTTCTAGACTGGCTTTGGGCTCCATTGGGTTCTTGGGGTGTGGGGGAGGACCTCGTTCAGGCAGCTGTTTTGGCATCTCATGAGGATTTGGAATACTTGCTGATGGTGAGAGCAGTCTTGCTGGGGTTTTTTTCCTTTTTTTTTTTTTTTTGTCTTGCATGCGCATTTTTTTTCTTCGTGGCTTTCTTGAGTTGAAGGCCCATAGGATCATCTCATCAACTGCAGCTCTCCCAAGTTTCTAGCATGTTAACTCGTCCTGCCTCTGTGGACATTCTTTTTGTTGGAGGCAAAATTGGAAACTGGACAAGCTCCTACTTGCCCATCTCCTTTGCAGCAACTGCTTGCCACGCTCCTGCTCCAGGGAGTCTGACCAGCCTGCCCGAGATGCTTGTCCAATTGTCTTTGGCACCCACTCTTGCACCCAGAAGCAGCACTTCAGACAGGGCAGGGGTGGCCATGCAGTCTATGCAATAAGAGCATCACTTTTTTCTCTTACACAGTGGTATGGCCTCGTTGGTTAACTGTGCAGCTACAGAGGAAAAATTCTTTTATTTCAGGCAAAGCCTGGATGAAAACTTGTAAGCAAAGAATAAACATTGATGTTTCTGATAACCAAGATGAGCTGTCTGGATTCATAGATGTCTTTCAGACTTGTGAAGTAGTTGATTGATTGCACTTCGGCATTTTTAGACTTCTAGAGCCATGGCTAGGGATTTTACTCCATAGATTTACTCTTGATATGTTGAAGTGGTTTATGTGTTAGAGGCCTCTTTTCTTTTCTGAAATAAATATTGCATTATGGAGAGAAGCCTATAAGTTTGGTGTTTAGCTGACAAACTACCTCGAGATCTCTAATGCTACTCTCAAAGTACTCACTCCTTTTCCTATGAGAGAATCTGATGATAAACTAGTGACTAGTTGTTTTGGGTGTGTGGATGATAACTGCTATAATGCTAAGCATGGTATTTAGATATATTTGTGGTTTTAATGGTATAATCTGCATGTTGCTTTGAAGTTCTCTTGGTAGCTCTAGCTTCATGATGTTCCTGACCCAAAGAATGTTGAAAGGCCTAGGTCACCCATTGAGAACTCAGTTATGCTACGTCTGTGTTCAGTAGCATATTCACAAATAACATCCTTGATTGAATTGATGGCAAAGCTTTCTTAGGTGAGCTTTAGTGTGCATCTGCTGACTCTTCTCTGCTGTGTTGACAAAATTGACCTTTAAGCAAATGTAGATGGAAAATGTTGATAGAGATAACGTAACCGCCTGCCTTTCTTCTGCAGGTGATGGTGTGGAAGACTAACTTTGATGCAGCAGATTATGGTGATGTACTGAAGAAGCCTGGCACTAGTGTGGATGGGACCCATCACGCTCTGGTAGGTCAGCATGCAGAAATCATATAGATTTCCTTTTCAGTACACTTTCTGCAACTTGAAAGCATGTGACTCTTTCAGGCAGTAGAACTATAGAGCCATCTTTCCTTGCTATTTGAGCAGCAGGCTGTCTGTTTTTAACTGATTTTGTCTTGCTTGCTTTGTTTAACTGTGTGTACTTTGTAGGAAAGTGATAAATAATGATCTTACAAGTCAGCAAAGACAAAGGAAATCTCTGCATAGCCTTCACATGTGAGAAATAGGTGACTTGTTGTACTGCAGCCTCTCTCCTAAATACCTGGAGAAATGAGTTCATAGCCATTCCCTGAACCACGTATTAAGAGACATCTGATTTCTGACTGTATCTAATGGATAAATCCCCCAACTGAGTAATTCAGTACAATGCACTGATCTATGTGTAGTACTGATGTTGGATGTCATGGCTATTATGAGAGTAACCCTTTAAAGTTACTGCCTAATGAGTTATAATTTTTGCACATGATGATGCTTCTCTTAAACTTCTATAGTTTGTCTTGTCAATCTTTGTATATTTTTGATATATTTGACTATACCTCCAGGACTTTGGTCTTCTTTACTGGGCTACTTAAACTTAAGTTCTGTCTTAAACATAGTAGTGTTTCTATTTAATATGGCTTCAGGCCGTTGCTGGAGGTGTTGGAATAGCTGTAGGATTTTGTGATGGACATGACCTGAGTCTGCAGCTCTAAACCTGATGCCTTACTACGTGGGGAGCTCTGTAAAGAAAGCAAACAAAACCAGAGGATGTTAGTGCTAGGTGAGTCTGAGAGGATGGTAGGAAGCAATCACAGAAGGAAGGAGGTGAAAGTGTTTATTGATCCTGGGCTGGTTTTGGCTAAAACTGACTTCTTCCTTTTCCTCCTCTTGTGTGTTCTGACTCTAAAGTTATGCAGGCTATGAAACTAGCAGGCCAATGACCTCTTTGTTTATTAGCCTATTGAACTGGACTATCTCTGAACTCTCTTTGCTTCAGTTTAAGATCTTGTGTAGTATAATTCTGGGCTGAAATACACCAGAGACAAAGAAAGCCTTTATGGGAAGAAATACTGTTTTCAGTAACATTCCAAGGAGCGGCTTAAATAATGTAGACAAGGTGTCTGCTAACAGGAGATTATGGTAAGCTTCCCCTTTCTTCACTGCTGTTATTACCAGAGCGTATTAACCAGTAGTAACTTAAGGAAAGGAAGAAAATGCCGGAGTTTTTCTAAAACTTAGTTCTCTGTTATAGAACCTCTGTCAACAGATGGTAAGATGTGCATTGAAGGTAGTTGCTGAACAAAACCCTTGAACGATGACTAACCACCCTGAACATCTGTCCCTCCAACAGAATTTTCCCTGTGGAAGAGTTTACCTGGCAACATCTCTAACAGATGCTGCTGGGACCAACTGTTTGTGTACTGCTGCCAGGCAAATCCATGTCATGTGGTGTTGGTTTATAAGGGGTTGCTCTGCTCGTGCTCTGAGCCTGTGGGAAATGGGGCACTACAAATTCTTTGAGGTGCAATATATTGGTTTGGATCAGGTGCTGTGTTTTTACAGAGCGCAAAGTGAATCCATGCTGAGTCATGTGGAAGAGGCATACACTTTTGGTTGGGGACCTAAATTACTTCAAAGGCGTGAGTATTTTGAACTGCCACCCAAATGCAGCCATTGGCTTGAGTGTGCAGCTGCACTACCTGAACATGAAAAGCTTACGTGCAATTTACAGAAGATAAAACCTGAGCAATAGTGGGCTTCTCCCTTTCTGTTTACTCCTTGAGAAAATGTGGTATCTTCTGTTCTGAATAGCACAAATGAGGCTTCCACTGCATCTGCTGGAGTAGCTATGAGCATGAATAGAGGCTTGTGAACTACACCTTGACTCCTTCAACAGTAAAATTGTCTCTGGTTAAAAAGCAGGGGTGAAGGTGGTTGCAATGGAGAGCTTGGGTGCTAGCTGGCAGAACTAACACCAGTATCTTAGTCGACTAAGGCTGATGCAGATCAACAATGTGATCTCTTTTATGCTGTTAAGATCATTGTTTTGCCTTGAAAGTGTGATGGAGCTCTGTCCTGCTATAAGGGAGTGGAGTTTCAGTTTGTCTTGTGTCACGCAGTCCGATTGGTGCCACCAAGGCCAATATAGTCTAAATTTTGGGGGGGATATCAGCTGTATTATGGCAGCCTGTTACGAGAACAATCGTGTAGCATGCTAGAGCCTGTACCTCATCTCTGCTAAGAGCTCGCTACAGTTCATGAGAATGGAAATGCAAAATATGGCTAGTACTCAACATCTTTGTGTATTAGGTTATGACAAATGCAATACTTTAATATTAAGGCAGTTGTAATAGCTGAAGTTAGAAGGGGAAGAATAAACAATGTAGCCTGAGATCTTGTTTTGAATACCATAGGTTAAGTTTAAATTTAGAATTGATGTGAGGTGTTCTTTGCTGTTAAAAAGAAGCTGATATATCTGAAAATGGCTTGGTTTGTTATTTTATGGAATAAGTATTAACCTCAGCATGGAAATCTTGGCTTCGTAATAACTTGGCTGTTCATGGCAATCTACTCTTTTCTTTCAGTTAATTTCATGACTCTCATATTTTAGAAATCTATTATACTGGGCTCTTAAAGAGTACTCTCACTGCTAAAGCTTACTGAAAGACTTAAATTTCACTGTATATTCAGTTCCTTCTTGTTTTGAGCAGGTCTTCTTTTTAATAACGAAGTACTTTGGATTTTGTGTAGTTGAGATCAGTTATTTTTTCCCATCAAAATCAGACTTGAAACTGCCACCTGTGGCTCATGGTTTCATGCCAGGGTCACCTTTTCCTTCAATGGAAAGAGAAGCTGCTTCAGCTTTCTGTACTGCAGTGTTAGCGTGCCAGGACTCTGCTTTTTGAATGATACTGCGGTTTTGCAGACATTTTGGGATGTAACTACATTTAAAACAGTGGCTAGGTTATTAATTTGGTTTTGATACTGCTAAAACACGTGAAACGCATGATTTAGTAATGCATCTTGAATCTGTTTTCACTCTTTACTTAAGTCAGAGAGAATATTTTTCCATGCAGAGCTTATGCTGTCATGTGTAGCTGTACGTAACTTTTTTGTTAAGTGTTGTGAAAGCACAAATCCTAATCAAAACAGTGGCTGTGAAAAAGCACTCAGTTTAGTACCTGGTTTCTCATGGGGAGAGTCAGACTAACATGCAAGTGCTAAGAAAGAATAACTGACATCAAAGCTAGTTTGTCATCAAGATGAATAGGAAGAAAAAAGAATCCTAAATACCCTGTGGGATAAGAGAAACATGAAACATTGTCAAGGTTTGTGAGCTTGAAAACAAACTCAAACAATTTTCACTTCCGTAGGCAGAGGGAGACTGGAGCCTTCAGAAGATGCTGTTTTCTCAGGCAGTTGGTTAAAGTTCATTATGAATCAGGGTGTTGGGCTTGTTTGCAGCAATAGGCATGAACTTCAAAGTTGCTCTGCCCACTTGCTTGTGTTTTCTGTAAATAAATGAGGCTTGGGAGATGCAGTTTGCTTTGAAAGTAAAACTGCTCCGTTCAAGGACTAATGCGAAGGAAAGAGAAGCTCATGATGAGCCGGAATTGCGGTGGTGACTATGGTGTAAAAGCATAGACACAGAAGTGTGATAAAGGAAACACTAAAGCTGTCAGAAGTGATGTTAGCGTAGATGTGTGACTCTAAATGTTAGGTCAGAGTTACAGTAGGTCTGAAATAAATGCTTACTCTTGAATTATAAGCTAATGATTGTTGCTATTAAGTGTTGCATAATTGCCTCGAAAACCAGTTAAGGGCAGGCACTTGTGATGAATGCAGTATGAAGCTGACAGGGAGAAATGAAGTCATATAGTCCTGTGTCTTGATTTTATACCTGTTTGTATTTGTTTTAATTTAGAATCTAAGAGGTAAGAGTAAATTAATGCTTGAAGCTGTGGTATTGAGTAGCGAGGAAAGTCTGAATAAGAGGTATAGATTTTGCGTGGGATTTCATAAAGATGGATTCTTGCACTTGTCCAGGGTCAGTAACTCTGTGAGCGTAATGGTCTGTCTGCATGAAGAGTTGTAGGATCAGATCAAGGGACGTGTTCACCCATCTGATATGTTGTGAAAACATTCATCATACAATTTGTTCTTTCCAGAGAGAGCGGATAATGTGTTTTACTTTGAGGGTTTGGTGGTGATTTTTTTCCAAATACAAGGAAAGCTTCGTACATGCGGTTACAGCTGATGTGAATATACAAGAACACTTGTTTCATTATGTGACAGCTCTGCTGCTATTGTTGACTAATTCCAAGACGACTATGTACGGTCAAGAGTTACGAGCAAATGCTGAGCAGTTGATGTCACATGGACAGTTAGAAAGCATTTGGGTGTTTAGATAAACTTGTACACTGAAAATTATGAGTAAAAACATTGTAGTATAAGCTAAGTTGGTAAACAGTTCTATTATGGAAAATAGGAAATATTCATTGATATAGAGATTCTTTACATAAGTTTAAACATAAACTTTCTTTAGGCATGTTGTAGCTCTGTGCAAAATACTATGCGAAGGAGGAGGCTGATGAGACTTTAGTCTCAGCCTCTGCATGTAACTTTCTAAAGAAAAATACTTCAGAACTTGTTTGTGTTGTAGGACATCAGAGGCAGAGCTATCTTGAACAGGGGGAGTGGGAGCTTCAGGTGTCCAAAAGGCAGTGAAATGGCAAGGGCTGCGTGCAGCCTGTTTATCTCAAACTAAGGGTATCCTGGCAAGAGTTACAAGTACAACAAAACATAAGCTTACAGGTGATGGAGAAGTGTTTCTCTTGCCACTTCACTTCAGTTGTGAATTCTTCAACCATGTAACTTAGATATATGCAGCTTAGTTTTCAGCTCCTGCCAGGACTCTGAGAGACCTCGTCATGTGAGTGGATGTGCAGACGTACTCAAAAGCAGGTAATCCCTTGGCAGGGGCGATT